CGGAGCAGATTACGCCTGTTTACTGACAGAACATCATCTCTTCTGACAGGAGAGCTGCTATCTGAATCAGAATTAGGCAACAGATTAAGCACTGCAGCATGTTAAGGGCTGCATCAAGCTACCACGGATGCCTCTACAGACCAGCACAGATAAAGGTTAAAAGGATCTCTTGTCAGGATTAAACACATCTTATGTTATACTGAAGATGCAGTTAATGAAACTTCTCCCTATAAAGAAACCTGTGTATGAGTGGAAGACATAATTTTTGGCTAGATACTTAGAAAAAACAAAAACCAAACCAAAATCCCCAGCTGTTTCAGTGATATTTCCCATGCATATCTGCTCAAGCAGCTAAATAAAAGAAATACCAATTAAGTTTCGAAGACTTTCACATAAACCATAATCTTCATGCTACAACTTGGGGGAGGAGGGAGTGATTTCATTAACATTTTTCTTCTTTTTTTCCAGTAAAGGCCTAAAGGAAGAATCAATGTTCAAAGTTTTTTATTTTGCTTTGACTTTTTAAGCCCACCAGCTAGTAAGCTAATGTTTCTTACTTTTGTTGAGGTAAAATGTAAAATAAAACCAACAAAAATATAAAAGAAAGGGGAAAAATTGAATCCAGAAAATGAAAGCAATGATAACTTTCATTCTGAAATGACAGCTGAGAAGGTGAATTACAAAGTTTCTCATAATGACTAAACAAAAATAGCTCAGCGCCTCGGAGAGAATTTAAGCAATGAAATCTCAGCTGTAAATCAAAAAGAAATCAGATTCAAGATTTTAACAGAGCAAGTAAAAGTACAAAATTTGACTTATCATTTGCTGTCACGGAGTCTCAGATATTGGCAGAGATGATCAACAGTCAAAAAACAAGCTTTGTTTCATTTAATTATAAATATTTATCCTTAGCAGATTGGAAGCTGACATATTTCTGCTGGTTTTCACTCTCAAACATAATATCCTATGGCACATGACTTCTGGTTGAGAATCAACACGGGGAAGCAGAGGAGGAAAGGACTAGTGTTACTGATCACTAAAGCTAATAGTATAGAACAAACAGCAAGAGATAAGAAGCACTTAAAAGCAAAATGCAATCACGAGTTAGCAGACAATCTATACCTAATGTAACAAAAAAAAAAAAAAATGTTTGAATAGCCTTTTGACAGGTCTTGCAATAAAACATTTCTGAAAGAAATTTAAATATTATGGTATTTTCCCCCAGCTCAGTAAAGCTTTCTGGCACCCTGATTAAAAGCAGTCACATCTTTAGCTACAATTCCAATCAGCAAATCACTTCAAATGAAGTTTCCACTGCCTTAAATGCCGATTGGTATGATGAACAGGCAAAGAATGAAGCGAACGCATCCAATATGAGCTGAAGCGCTTGGCTGAAATGGAGCCGCTATATATAGCGCCCGCTGCTATAAGACTTGTGAAACTGTACACAGCTGAACAACACAGAAGCTCCACCTTTGAATTAGCAACTCAATCTATTTTTAAAGATTTCAGGATTACTTTGCTCACATAGTGAATTCCTGAGAATAGATGGTCAAGGCAGGGGTAGGATAACCTTGTCTTACACAGCTGGGGAATCCAAGCACCAAAAGGCAGCTTTCCCACGAGAGAGGTTCAAATGAAAGCCTCGCGTTGTATTTGAAGCTTTTACATGAGGTTCACAGCTTCACACCCCAGCTACTCTGTGACTATAGGAAAGTAATTGCAATGAACCAAAAAGCAGTCGTGCTGCCCATTTAGATGTATACATAGACCGAGTACAAAGGACGGTCTTGACACTGAATGAAGAGGACTACACATACATATAATAAATGCAAACTGAGTATTTTAACCCGTATAATGAATCTTCTTGAAAACTATTAAAAATAGATGCTGTGGCATTTCCAGGTTGATAAAGAGACATCATTTATTAAACCTTGAAAACCTTACAAAGGCCTAAGAATGTGCCACTGCAGGGATGAAACTCTGAACATCATTAATAAGGTGCCTGGGATTTTGCAAGCAGCTGTTCCGGATACTGCGTTCTGACTCCCCGGCTAGTATTAGATGTACTTGACTACAGCGGTTCCTAAAGGAATAAAATGATGACTATTATGCTATACTTCCAAGCAGCAAAGTGCTTGACAAACCTGCTTACCAATAAAGCCATACAGTTTTAGGACACGATCTACTAAATAAAAAAAAATCAGTTTGAGACAATCTTGTGTGTCTCATTTTTAAACATCTTTTACAAAAAATATTTCAGTGTTTCATTATCTTTGCTTAACCTAAAATTCCCTTGCTATACAAAGTTAAATCCAGTTGGCAGCCGGTCACAAACAGTGTTCCCCAGGGCTCAGTTTTGGGGCCAGTTCTGTTTAATATCTTTATTGATGATCTGGATGAGGGGATTGAGTGCACCCTCAGTCAGTTTGTAGATGACACCAAATTGGGCCAGAGTGTTGATCTGCTTGAGGGTAGGATGGCTCTGCAGAAGGACCTGGACAGGCTGGATCGATGGGCTGAGACCAACTGTATGAGGTTCAACAAGGCCAAGTGCTGCGTCCTGCACTTGGGTCACAACAACCCCACACAACGCTACAGGCTTGGGGAAGAGTGGCTGGAAAGCTGCCCGGCAGAAAAGGACCTCGGGGTGTTGGTCGACAGCTGGCTGAATATGAGCCAGCAGTGTGCCCAGGTGGCCAAGAAGGGCAACGGCATCCTGGCTTGTATGAGGAAGGCTGGAGCATGTCCAGAGAAGGGCGGCGAAGCTGGTGAGGGGTCTGGAGCCCAAGGCTAATGGGGAACGGCTGAGGGAACTGGGGTTGTTAAATCTGGAGAAAAGGAGGCTGAGGGGAGACCTTATCACTCCCTACAACTGCCTGAAAGGAGGCTGTAGTGAGGTGGGTGTTGGTCTCTTCTCCCTAGTAACAAGTGATAGGACAAGAAGTAACAAGTGATAGCCCCTGGTCTACGTGAACCTGCTTTAGCAGGGGAGTTGGACTAGATGATCCCTGGAGGTGCCTTCCAACCCCTGCCATTCTGTGATTGTGTGTGGTTCTGTGATTCTATGACAAGAGAAAATGGCCTCAAGTTGTGCCAGGGCAGGTTTAGATTGGACATTAGGAAAGAATTTTTCACTGAAAGGGTTGTCAAGCATTGGAACGGGATGCCCACGGAAGTGGTTGAGTCCCCATCCTGGGGGCATTTAGAAGATGTCTTAGGGACATGGGTTAGTGGTGGACTTGGCAGTGTTAGGTTAATGGTTGGACTTGACGATCTTAAAGGTCTTTTCCAACCTAAATGATTCCATGATTCTATATGTGAAGGTCATTATTTACTGTATTACCTGTTGTGAAAAACAGATCCTCTTGGCAGTGCCATTTATTGTAATTAAAAGCTTGTTTAAGTCCTTGGTCAGTCCTCTCTTTGGCTTCAGCAAGACGAAGAGTTTCTTTAAACTTACACTTTAGCATAAGTCACATTTTACCACTCTTCTTGCTCTAGACTTTCTCCAACATGTCCACCTTTCTTCATGTTTCTCCAAGTTCAAGCCCGCAACCCGATATGTTAACTCTTCTTGAGGCTTTACTTTTTTTTTCACAGGAACACATCATGTTTTGCAAGCTCTGTTGCTGTCCATTCATCCTTGACATTTTTGCAATGATACGATACTGGTGACTCATTTCTTTCCCTTGAAAATGAAATACGCTCCCAGTATCTCCTAGACTTATATTCCCTTCTCTTTGGGTTTTATTTCTGAAGTCTGTCATGAAAAAGGTCCTAGGACCAGTAGGAAACTCTTGGATCAAATGAAGTTTACTCTTAACTATTAGTAGCAGTAGTATTACATAATTGTACTGAAGTAATTTCAGACTTTAAACCAAACGAAATGCTTGCTCCCACTATGCACATTGGCTTTCTTTTCAGTAATCCTGCTACTTTGGTAATTGGTAGCTGTACAAGGCGATTTTTAACAAAGGCATATTCCTGTCCAATTTGTAACAATTTTTTCTTGCACTAACGTCATCCTTCATCCAAAAGACTATTTCCTCCTCCTTGGTACTTATACCGCAGAAATACTTATGCACTGAAACAAAGTCCATTCTCAATCTTCTTTCTTCCCAACAAACGCAAGCTCGTTTATTCATCTTTTGAATGACAGCGATTCAAAGGCCACCTCTGGAATTACCAGAGTTTGAATACATCCCAAATATTTAATGACTGTGAAGTATTTAACTACTAGCATAAGGTGAACTTACATTAAGAAAAAATTGATGATTAAGGATCGGTAAAATTATTAACTTACAGAATTCGTTTTTGCAAAAGCTGCTTTGCTTAAGCAGTATGTAAAGCAATATAAAATGAATAAAAACCATACAGCACAGGAACTGTGTATTCAGCAGCAAATGAGAATTTTATCATAACAATTAATTATTAAAATTGATCATACTCAGTTGCTGATGAATTTTAGGCAATCAGATTTTAGTAATTATGACATTTGACTGCCATCACTTGTTGCCATGATTTTTAAAACAATGATGAAACTATGCTGTGGCTTACAGGAGAAAGCAAGCACTAAAGGAGAGAACGGTTACAATTTATCCCTCACATTCAAAGACAATCATTTACACATGCATTTTTGGTAAGAGTCTGTCAGACAAACATAAAACACACACACACCACACCACACCAGCGAAGAGATATAGAAAGAAGTCATCAAATTTTACAATAAAGAAAGAGATATCCTGTCCCTGGTAAAATAAACCATCATGAAAAAATGTTTGAACCTCAGAAATTATCCAATGCACATGGATTGCTTTAATCATAGTCTACAGTTAAAGGAGGCTAAATTCCTAAATGAGGAATTTTGAAAATTTGTTCTCATAATTCTTTACCTACATGTTGCTGATGATATTGAAAGTTTCCAGCATGGTCTTTAAGTCATAGCCAATATAATAGAGAAAATGAGTCAAATATACAAAGTTCAAAACAATGCTTACCTTGTTGCTGGAAGGGTGCTCACACGGGTAAAGAAAACGGATGGCTCTACTTCTACATGAAGGCCCAGCGAAAGGTTCCTGTAGTATCCTTCAACATGTCCTGGTCCACCGGAGTACTTAAAATTCAAAATGGCTTCCAGTGTCTAAAGAAATAAAAGTTACTTATGAGCTATGTTTCATTACTGTGCATTTCACAAGTTTAATTAAATTAGACCATAGAAGTGATTTACCACCAAAGTTCCTATGCCCTCAAGAATTTGCCTTCCTAACCCATCCATTCTATTACCTCAAGAAAAAAGGCAATCTAACAAGTAACTGCATCTTATGTAAACGGTTGCTCTTTTTCCTAATCCTTTCAAAAACTAAGGAGTACAGAACAAAGTCAGCTGGACTTCCCTTTATATAATTCCTCTCCATACCACATTTAACATAGAAAAAATGAAGAGCTTATTTTTGCTTAGAAGGGTTTATTAAATTATATACTCTTTCATACTCTTGAAAAATATTCACCACTTCATTACCTTCATAATCAAATGGAAAAGCTTTAAAGATTTTGAGCGTGGACAGACAAAGATTACACAAAACCAAAAGCATCAGGTCTCTGTAAACATATGCTCATCTCCATTGATGAACAGATTAAAACAACACTGTTGACCAGATCTATCGCATGAACCTTGTCTTCCTTTGATGTTCATTTTTTAGAACATGATTAGCTTGCAAATACTAAAAATGAAGATGATTCTTTAGCATTAGTCTTATGCACTCATTACTCTCAGTAGTACTGACACTTTGTGATGAAATTTTGGGCTCCACGTCTTTTTCCTTAATGAATAGCATGTGGGAAGCTTCCCAGCATACCAGTTCCAATGTCATCATTAGTGTTCAAGCTCAGAACAAACCTTTGAGTCATCCAGAGACTATAAACCACCTATTCTTTCATTAAATTCCTGAAATATAATTTGCTGGAAGGAAGGTAAGAATTTGGGAAACGTCACTGGCTTCTTTCTCAGCACTTATTCTGGCCCCTAGTCACCTGCTATTGCCAAGTCTCAGAGCAAGGACAGAGGAAGAGACAGACCTCTACTCTATGGTGATACGGTGAAGCCTATGTCTAGAAGGACAGCTGTTTCTTAAAAAGGTTTAGAAAAAATGACTATTTCCTCTTGGATTAGCTTTTAGCTTATTCTTTATTAAAAACAAAACAAAACAAAACAAAACACACAAAAACAAACAAACAAAAAAAAAGCCCCAAACCTCCAAGTCAACAACTTATCCAGGAAACAAATTATATTTATCAGACGTCATCAATCCTCAGACTGTGAAAAGTAATCTCCCTTTCAACTGAAGATTTATAAAAGATTTTATGAAGTCTGTTAAATTTTTTCATAAGCTCTAAGGAACAATCTAAGGATTTTCTAATTTACAAAAAAAATTTGTTTGACATCTTTCTCTTTCTAAGTTTGGCTGAAGGAACAGAAACATGGATACAATCAATTTCTTAAAATAACCACAATCCAATGATTTAAATACCAAAATCAAAGAGTTTAATGTTTTGCTGCATGCACACATTTAAATGTTTTGCCTATTTCCAGCTTGCTTTTAAGTGGGCTAACTCCAATTCCTAATATAGTTCCATTAAAATTCATGAGAGTCACCTTATAATACAAATAAAAACCTTCACCGGGCACTCTGCACATACCCGTCCACTCTGTGTCAATTCCTAATTTGTAGTTAATTAACTCAAGTTTATGTTATTTCAGGAAAGCTAATCAATATGAAATCCAAAAATAAAAAAGCGCCAACCCATTCAAAACGTACTTCATTCTAATTCACCAGCTGGACCATTTAATAAAAATCAGAGCTAAATGCCACCAGTACAGGGATGTGACAGTGCTTATACATCGTAATGTGAGAACGGACTTCAATTTCAATTAGGTGACCTGTGAAAACCCTGGCTATGGGTGTTCTGTGTTATTGCTGTAACACTCATTATTCTGCTTGGGAAAGCTACTGTGCTGTGGATCCATGGCTTATTCTACATGGCGCAGGGCTGCTTTATTAAGCCCAGTCCCATATAATTACAGGTAAACACGTAATAAATGTTAGTTCGAATGGTCATGGAGCATTATCATTCCAGATGCAAACCCCTTCCTAACAGCCAATTCCAAATGAAAAACGTCCAGAAAAAGGCTAAAAACTACAACCATTACACCCCGTGGGTGAGCAGGAGAGTTTAAGGGCATCATCACAATCTTGGTCCCTGTTGTAGTGAGGAATTTGTCAAAGAAAACTTGGTTTTGACCCTGCGTGTGTCCCACACCCCGTGCTAGAGAACAGGAAAAAGAAAACCTAACGGTTTTTTATTAATCTAGACAACAGGAGGACATCTGTTCTCACTCAAGATGTAAGATCTAAGTGGGGACATTTAATACTGGGGACATAAGAGACTTTGAATATCTCTGAGAACCACAGAACACCCGAACTTGTATTCTTTCTCTGGCCATGATAATTTGCAGGCTTCCTAGGAACGTACACACACATGCACAAAGATAAAACATCAGGCAGACTTTACATCCCGAGGGGAGACGTATGCGTAGGGGGGAGCCTGACTGAAGGAAGTAATTTTTTTTGGGAGCCTTCAGGTGATCAGAGAAAGTTTTATTGCTTAGGATTCATAAAATATGAACAGGATGTAAAAAAACCCCCAGTTCAACCTCCTTTAAACCCCTCTACACACACGTTCCTTGGAAACAACTCCACATACAATATGAAAGATTGATTTTCTATCTTTAGGATAGAAAAAAAAAAAAATCCTACACTTTCATAAACTTACAAAGCTCCAATTTAAAACAATTTACCACTCTCTCCCACAGTACCTGCAAAGAACAGTCCAAATGCTACAGCCCCGGATTTAAATAATGTTGTACACTTATTCCAGTGGCCTTGTCAAACCTACACAAATAACAGACTGAGCTGCAGATTCTATTCATCTTGACAAATACCAACAGAATTTATTAGATTTCTCCAAACTGCATCACTGCAGACCAAAAAGAAACGGCAGGTTGTCACTACGAACATAATTTTGCCTGCGGATGATCCATAAAAAAGAAAAGGAAGGAAGGATGGAGTACACCGGCCTCTCAGGGCGGGCTGCCAGGAAAAGAAGCTGATTGTTAACCAGACAGATCTGGAATCCAGAATATCTATGGACTGGGGGGGATATTCTTGTTTTTAAGCAGAGTTGCATTCTGGAAATTCAGTAGTAAAAATAGGGATAAATTGTTTAACCTGTATGATGACTCTGGCTTGATAGATTTTTTACAACTTCATTGGTCCTTCGTTCTCTTGATGAAGAAAAGGAAACTGAAGTGTTTCTGAGGGTAAGTCCCAGATGACACGACTCAGCCAACAGCACCAGTGGGATGCCAGGGTTAGGTTAACGGTTGGACTTGATGATCTTTAAGGTCTTTTCCAACCTAAACGATTCTATGATTCTATGATTAATAGCACCTACTACACTGACAAGAAATGTTTTATCAAAACTAACCATTTTGTTTTCTCTCATACATTTTCTTCTCAAACATATTTTCTACACAGAGCAGGAACCAGGGGTTTTTAAAATCATTCTCCCCAGTCTGCTCATGGAAATGGGGGGTTGGACTGGATGACCTCTAGGGGTCCCTTCCAACCCAAAACATTCTATGATTCTGTGAAATCCTTCCCATGTTCACTTTCAGAAGAGAATTAAAAGCAAAATTAGACAAGAACTTCTTTTTGACTAACACTGTGCCACTAATGAAAAGCCAAACATTTGCTGTTAAAGTTTCCTAACTAAATGACTGCAGTGAGTACTCTTCCGCATTCCCTCAACAGTGACTTGGTCTGGACAGTACCTTTTACATACATCTGAATTGCCAACTCAAGCAATCAGAACTCAGATCAATTATTTTGACTGAACTACTACTATAGTACTTCCCACCCAGAAGTAGAGAGTAAAATCTAAAGAGTATTTGCATATAATTCTACAGAATATTGCTACTCAGGCAGAAGCCAGAACATTAGCCAGACTGTTCTCAGCGGTGCCCAGCGCCAGGACAATGGGCACAAACTGAAGCATAAGAGGTTCCAGTTGAATGTGAGGAAAAACTTCTTTACCTTGAGGGTGACAGAGCCCTGAAACAGGCTGCCCAGGGGGGTTGTGGAGTCTCCTTCTCTGAAGATATTCAAAGCCCGCCTGGACGAAGTCCTTTGTAACATGCTCTAGGTGAACCTGCCTTAGCAAGGGGGTTGGACTGGATGATCTCCCGAAGTCCCTTCCAACCTTTGCCATTCTGTGATAACCGATTGAGAACAGATCTCCCCAAAACAGCTAACGACACAAGAAACATAAATGAGCTGGGGGAGAGCAGCCATGAAGAGGATTTCTTCTACTGAGAAGTTAAATATTGTGCTCAATCCTTTCCGTATGCTTGTTCTCTAGCAAGGGGGTTGCCTGACTACCAGAGTCAAGAAGCTTTACCCCCAAAAAAAGTGTTCAAAGTTGTGTGTAGCAAGGTACACTAATTTAGTCAAAAAATTGGCTAAGACCAGGAGTATGTTAAGGTAACTATAACTTAAGGATATAAGAATCCACCTGCAGAGATGTGATCATTAAATGCTGTAGGTAAAGGAAAATAAACATTCCATAGAAGAACACAAAACATTAGCTTAATTTAGTATTAGCAACTCTCATAATTAGACTGTTTTTTTTAAGAAAAAATCCTTCAAGATATGCAAAACATTAAAAGAGCTATTTTCTTTTAAAACCAGGAATAATTACTGAACAGCAACATTAGATCTAATCAACAAACAAACTGCCAACTATGAGAACGATACACACAGAAGGTGAATTAATAGTCAGGAAACTCAAATTTATAGTGATATATTATTAATGAGTAAACAATTTTCATATTGACTGATAGACAGTTTACGTATCTCCTCACTGCTGAAAAATACTTTTACGCATCAAAATTTTTGGGTTTGGAATTTTACAACAGTTCAGGTCAGAAGCTCCTGGGTGTAATCCTTATATCATCTATTTTGCCTCGTAGATTTGTGTCTTTATTCTTTGTTTCTTTATCCGTAAGCAATTTTACTAGCAATA